ATATTATATAAACCTCATCAAATATTTCTAAAAAGCCCCCAAAAATGTAAGATCACAAAAGATATGACCACGAGTCTAAAGTTTTAGATCCCTTATGTAAGTAAGCATTGCAAATTAGCAAAAGATGAATACATTTTTTCTAGTAAAGATGGAGGAAAAACTATAACAATCTTTAGATAAGCTTTAAAAATGTATATGTAGTAAACAATACTGCAATATACTATTAAATTTAACATTTGTATTACTTCCTACAGTTTTTTTTCTTTCTTGCAGGTATTTCATGCTGTTATAAACATATCCTTCACCTAATATGTTTTCTCATCATTTTAAAAACAGAAAAGCAGGTCTTGTTTCAGCTTGTACCAGCATTCCTCTGTCACTCAGCATTAATTATGGTTTGAAATCTGGTGCAGCAGATAGGTTGTCCCATTTTGGACTCATGAGAAAGGTTTTGCTTGGCTTCAGTTTAGGCCCGATGATCTTATGGGAGGTCATTACAGGGCACAGAGCTCCTGCTCCACGCAAATCTCAAGCCCTCAGAGACTCAGAACGCTGATCTGAGCTGAAGACTTTTTTTGTTTTGCTGCTGGCTTTCAGATAGGAACATCATCTGCATCACATTTTTTTCTGAGGTGTTGCATTTCATCCCTCAAGTCCTTGAAAAACAACTGCAGGGGAGTAACACTGGAATTGTGTTTATCACAGAAAATTGATCTTTTGTAACAAACCAGCAAAAGGAGGATGTAATAAAAACTGATAATTATGTATGAATAGACAGCTTATGCTCTATAGTTTGGTGAATAACTATTAAACAATCCCCCTCTGTATGTCTGTCCTGCTTTTTTGTGATGTTTGTTCTCTGATTTTATGGTAGGTTTTTGTTTAATTCCCCCCACCCCACCCCCACCCCACACACACATTATTATAGATTGTTTGTTTGATCCCAGCCCAACCAAAGATGACACAATATTGGCATAGATTTATTAGTGTATGGTCAGATGTTTCAGATCAGTGCCCACAAGAATCAGAGCATCTGCCAACAACCCAATCAAGCACAGCTGCCTCTCAGCCTGCAACACCTGGTGCTCACAGGAAATTTCCCATCCAAATCCTACTCCGCCCTGACCCTGCTTACCTCCTAAGATAAGACAAGCTCAGGCCCACACAGAGAATTTGGGCCAAAAACTCCAAAAGATGCCAAAAGATGCCAAAATATGCCAGAAAACAAAACTGCAAAAAAGAAAACACATTTCACAACATGCAGGCAAGCAAAGAGATGCAAGAAAAGTAAACAAGCAATAAACAATTTATTATTGTGCAGACCACGCAAAAGTTTTGAGTTGTTCCACATTTCTTTATATTTTACTTCCAAGCAGCCAGATTTTTTTGATATATTAAAAAACAAACAATATGTCTTCAGATTTTCTGGATGCCTTTCAAAATAAATTGTGATTTTTTTTTTTCAATTATATTCTGGCCTTTATCTCACTGTTGTTGAATGAACGTTTTTCTTATTTTTATTTAATGGTTTTTTTAGGCCACTTCTTTAGAAATATAAATCATTCAAGTATAAAAATGATCAAACTAAAATAAATAAATAAATTCTGTGTCAACACATAGAAGAGAACTTAGGCAAATAATCTATTTTAAAACAGATCTTAAGACAGTTTGATACCAGATGTTTGTAACATTATTCAATATCAGTGATCATAAACTGCAGGCCTGTGGGCAAGAAATGGAAACCACACTTATAACATTTGGCTCACAAAAATGCATACTTAATCAAGATATATCAGTAGGCTTCCTTGCTCAAAATGTGCAATCAGATCCAATTCAGATACTAGCATATCTAGAACTCTCACCAGTTCTAATTTCTGAAGACCACCACTGGCTGAGACAGTGACGGACAGACATAGAGACAATCTGTCTCTATGTATGTTTTTAAAACTGCTCAATATTTTATATCTGCATATTCACACATTTGAAATGTCAAAATGATACAGAGGTTCTTTAGGTTGGAATAAAATCACATTTTGTAAATAATTTTCAGAGTTTTAGTTATATTTAGTATTGATCAAACATCACCAAAATACATTATCTGACAGTTCAAATAGTTTTTGTCTAATATTTACTATTATCAATTTATATCTGCTAAAAAAGATCATTTTTAATATTATTGTACACAAAATGACTACTAATTAGTTGATTTTTTAACATTATTACCAGTCCCTTAGCTATTCTGAATCACAATGCAAAGATTTTCAGATCTCACGAACTCATGTTTTATCCACAATATACTAAAATATCAAATGTTTAAACTAAGAAATGGTATTTTTTTTTAAAACATATAAGGACATTTTGAATTTTATGGAAGCAACACATTTTTAAAAAAGGCTGTAAAAGTAAATGGTTTAAAAAAAACAATTGGTGGAGCATTTTGCAACAAATTAGATGATCTGCAGCAGGTCAATAAGAGGAATGGGGCATTTTAAAAAGGCCTAATTTCATAGAAGAAAAGATGGGCAGAGCTTCAACACTCTGCAAAATGGTGTCGAACAATAATTGAATAATTTTAGAACAATGCTTCTCAATGAAAATTTGGGAAAAATTTGAATATTGCATCACTTACTATTCATTGTATCATGAAAAGTTTTCAACAAGCTGGAGAAATCTCTGTAAGAATAAAGCTGAAAGTCATTACTGGGTGTCTGTGATCTTCGGGCCCTAAGAGAAGCATCAAAACCAAGTCTAATTTCGGTATGGACATTACTAAATGGGCTCAGGAACACTTCCACAAATCATTTTCTGTAAACACAGATTGCCATGCCATACAAAAGGTTGGTTAAATCTCTATCAAGCACAGAAGATGTGCACACAAACAGAAATGTTGCTGTCTTCTCTGGGCCAAAGCTAGTTTAAAATGGACTGAGGCAAAGTGGAAATTTGTTCTGTGGTTAGATCAATCCAACTGTGAAATTCTTTTTGAAACAGAAGGCATGTGCTTTGTAATAAGGATGAGACATTCCATCCGGCCAGTCATCTCACAGTTCAAAAGCCTGCCTCTCTGATGGTATGGGAGTGCATTAATACCTATTAGATGAGCAGCTTACACATTTGGAATGGCACCATTGATGCAAAAATGTGTATTGACGCTTTAGAACAACAAATGATCCCAACCTGATGGCTTTAAAAGAAAAAAAAGCCTAGGCCTTGCATATTTCAGCAAGACAACGCTAAATCACAAACTGCATCAATTATAACTGCATTGTTTCACAGTAGAAGAGTCTGTGTGCTGAACTGGCCTACCTGCTGTCCAGACCGCTCACCATTTGAAAACATTTGATGCATCATGAAACAAAAAAACTCAGCAAAGCAGACTCAGTTGAACTGCTAGAATCCTTCATCAGCCAAGAATGGAACAACCGTCCCCTCCACAATTCTGACAAAACATGTTCAGGTGTAGCACTGTTTATAGAAGGGCAGAAGAAAAACAGCAGAAACTGAATCTCAGTTTATCAAGCAGTTTAAATACAAGTTAAAAATTAGCATGGCAGCCCTGCTAACTGCTACAGGACAATAGGAAGGTAGCAGTTTAAAACTCTCATGTGCCATTGCTTATGATAAAAAGCATGACTGATGGAACTGTTTATGGTTTCTTTATTAAATTTTTGCCACATGGCAAACATGTAGGCAGATAATTATTATAAAGTGCTTTAGTGTTGCTGCTGAGAATGTTGATTAATTACTGACAATTACTGTAATTACTGCATGATAAAGTTCCTCTGGCATCGAGTGATATTTTACAAGTGAATGTCAGTTTAGCAAATATGAAAAGTAAAATGCAATGCTTTTTCATTATTTGCACATTGTATAAATAAAAGGTATAATCAGTTTTAGTCTGTATCACATTGGCTCAGTCTTCCCTGGTGAAGTTATTAGTCTGCACTTCTTTTTATTATATTACTATACATTATTATGTAACAGTACTTAGCCACAAGAGTTATTGGTGCCCAAATAACTTTATTTTTTAACTAAAAACCCCGATTTCATCTTGAAATTTTTTTTTTGCTGAAAACAAATTAGTTGGACATGTATCAACTTTAATAGAATCTCTGTTTGGAAGCTGCCTTTTTTGTCCACTGACAACTAATTTCAGTAAACAACTACTAAAACGGAATGGGTCATGCCTTGAAAATGACAAAATAATTAAGAAGAACACTTTTTTTCATGCAGTTATTTTCTCCAGATTGAAACAAACCTCATTCAAGAAAAGTGCCACTGGACAGTCAGCATTCTCTGACAAGAAATCTTGCACGCATAGCTCTAAAAATAAACCATTACACTTTACAGACAGTTTTCCATAAAACCAAGATCAGTGTAATTAAAATTGATGCTGTTCTTAGAAATGAGTCTGTACTTTGATATGTATACTTGTGTTATTTTTTTATATCAAAAACGTATTTTCATCGCACTCAGGGGAAGAGGTCTAATCTTTCTGCAGTTCAATGTAACATTGTATACTCTTCTTCTGATACCATATGCCCCAAAGAAATAACACTATTATGGAAAAACTCCAGAGCATCACCTCTGAATTCTGATTTATACATTCATCGCACCTGTCACCAAATCAGAAAAGTGGGAGCTTTGTCCTTGGCTCATGTTGTTCTCATGCACACACTTTGCAACATGTGTGTTGGTGCTAATTTAGTCTCTCTACCTCTCATTCCTGAATGTTTGCCTTGAGTCTTTGTCTATCTGTCTTCCTCTGTTGGATTATCCTCCTTGTACTATTTCACACTGAGCAGGGGACAGGACAACAATGCTAAGTATCTCAAGGCCACATTTGGGGTACAAGAAGATAAAAACTCAGGTTCCCAGACCCAGACTAACATTACATTGAGCAGCATCCTTGTCTCTGGTCTCCTCCTCCAAACAGACATACAGGACCAACCGTCATCGGCCTGAATCAAACTCAGTCCTTAGATTGACCACACTGCTCAAACACGATGTCTTTTGCATTCGCTGTCATGATGATGCTTCTTGGCTCTGCAGTGGTGACTGCATTTGTCCTGCATCCATCCAAGGAAGAGACTGCAATCTCTGCTGATTCCCATCAAAGGTCAGATTGAGCCTCAATTTATGCATTGTTATATTTACAGGAAACATAACCTATAACTTGCAGTATATTATGCATAGTTAATGATGTGCATAGCATGTTAACACTAAGAGGTCTGTGATGTATGGTAAGGGACGATTGGATTTTGTGCTAAATCTATGGTAATTCAATACTTCTATGCAGACAAGGTGCAAAGTGTTTCACTATTCCATTGAAGAGTCAGAAGAGGAATAAACAGTTACTCACAAAATACTTTTCAACTCGTCTTTCATAATATTACAAGGCACTTCTTTCAGACATTTAAATTGACAAGCAATCATTTTGTTGAGATGTGAATCTGTATGGGATGTTCAGGTGCCCGGAGGAGTCACTGCAGTCGATAAGGAAGAGTCTCCTCGGGGCTCTCAACATCCAGACTGAGCCACAGCTGCCTGCTGGGTTTCTGGATGGCATCCGAGAACAGTGGCAGAGAACACTTGGAACCAATTCCCAAAGTGCCAAGGACACCACAGGCAAGTGGAGTCCAAAGATTTAGAGAAACAAATGTACATGTCACAACCATGCATTGTGAAATTAATCCTCTGTCTCTTGCTCCAGCAGCCGTCAACAACTCTGCATCAGTTGAAAGTGTGAACAGTACAGGCCTCAAGTGTTGTTCCATGGCCTCTGAGGTTTTCCTGAAAGGTATGCAACAAAGAAGACTTGTTTTTACCCAATACTGCCATTTATGTATCATTCTTATTGTTTCTTTTTGACAAAAAACAAAATGTTGTTTTACTTTCCAGATCTGGGCTGGGACAGCTGGGTGATCCATCCTTTGAGCCTGACCATCGTTCGGTGTGCATTGTGCAACTATATGGAGAACACAGTGCAGTGTCCATCCTCCTCCAGCATCCAGAACTCACAGGTAATTTATCCATGTAAATTCAACATGGGAATATGTTCCTTTATAACATTTTATACATTTACCCAAGCTTCAGTGACTCTGAGCCATAAACAGCACATAACTAACCTGGGTGTGTTTCTGAGATAAACCCATTTCAATAGGCTTTCTTGCCAGCACTTAACCTAATACAAGCCAGGGAATTTCACAAAGTTGGCCACCCAGAATGCATGTGGTGAAAAAATTGGTATCACAACAAAAGAAACGTTTAATTGTGACTCATAGGCTGGGCATGAGTTCAAACATTTGCAAAGAAAGTATTTTTATAACTTGCATGCTCATCCAAAAGCAGTAAAGACAACCTTTTAAACAGCTTATGCAACTTTGACATGATTAAAATCTGTATTTTTAAAGATTATTTTAGCTTTTTAAAAAGTCCAGTTTAAAATTAAATATGTTTTACTTAAACTACTTTTAGCTATTGCACTGTGGGTCATTATCAACATTGCTATCTGTGTAAATATTGGTTTTCTTGTCTTTCTCCAGGATAATTTGCCTTGCTGTCAGCCTGCCACCCAGGAAATGGTGCCTATGGTCTACATGGATGGAACCGGCACCACTGTCATCTCCTCTGTGCAGCTGACCCGCAGCTGTGGCTGTGGACCGGGTAATGTTGAGCAGCAGGGCAAAAAGTAGGCTGAGGTTTGTCCTTCAGTCGTGATATGAGCCACGTTTTGTAACCAAATTATCTTCACACACAGGCCTGTTCTGTCCTGAGTTAAAAAGCCCACCTGTACTGCGGACTGTTTCCTCTATCTTAAATTGTTACTCAGTGTGTTCAGCACCAAGCGTGAGAACCAAAGCAAAGTCTCAGTTTTGAATTCCTGCTGCACCGCTGTAGCAATAACAACTTTGTTGTGCCTGCCAGTCATGAAAATCAAGTGCTCTACATTTGCAATCTAAATATAAGTTTATGTCTTTTTTTTTTTTACAAGTAACCCACAGACAAGTTAATGTTAATAAAATGTGTTTAGTTTTTGCATTCCACTTCAGATTAATCCAACATCTCTGGCTCAGTTCGGCTGACATTTTGTGTAATAACTCTCAAGAGTACAGATCACTTATTTATAGCCACGAATGGTTACGGAGTGTTCCCTCTAAAAATCTGAGACCGTCTGTGCCAAATGCTCAACAAGCCAGTCTTCTTTCATATGATACATGATAGCACCTTTTATGGTAAAAATATTCTATTTAATCTCAGCAAGTGAACTAAGGTTAGCGAAGTAAGGGTGTAAATTATGTAAAGGCTTGATGATTTCGAAACTTCCAGGAGCTGAAACATACCGAAGAAGCCAAAACCCTGTGAGGTTGAAATGAACAGCCTTGGCCTCAACAGAAGAGAGACACATGGAGGAATCTGAAAATACAAAAAAATACATTTTTTGCAAATAAAATAAAAAAATAAATAAAACTAATATTTTAAATATATGCTAAATAGAACTATGAATCTATATTGACTTTATTCAGCACATTATAAAAAAGTATGCAGCATAAGCAGGAGAAACGTGGCACCCATTTGGGTTAAGAAAGTACTTGACCTTGTTGAAGCACACCTTGCTGCCTTTTGGAGTGTGACACAATATATGTTTTTGGTTTAATTTCAGTGTAGTTCTGGTATGTCCTACATAAGCAATGCCTCCCTTTCAGGTTTGAACAGTTTGAAAAGTTAAAAAAGAAAACTGCTCAGCAAACACAAGAGATTAAATTAAAGTTGTTTTTTTTTTTTGTCATATATTAGATGATTTCCCACAGAGGAATGGTCTTTATAAGGGTTTTGGTTTAAACTAGAAACAAATTTCAGTTTGTTTGTTTCCATAACTTTAGATGATTTTTAAAAACATTTTTTAGTCTCATTTTGTTCCTTTTCTGATGCCGTGTCTAAATACAAACCAGTTTGTTTTGCAAAATGTATTCTGTGTGCTTTTTATACATAATTTAGAACTGAACAATTACCAATTTTTCAAATGTTGACAGTTCTCAGTAAGTATTTTTTTATTTCTTTAAGTCATTTTGTTGATTTTGTTGTACTATTATGCTTCACAAAGTTACCTCACAGTTTAAGTATTAAAGTATTTTTTCACAAGTATATTACTACTCAGTTCAATCAGTAGACTTAGATCAAATGACTCTGCTTTGTCATTATAATAATTTGTACTAATTCACTCATTTGCTTTTAATTATATGAATAAAAAGGACTAAAACAAATTGATTTTTTTGTCCGCTGTGTTTTATTATCAAATATATTTCATTTAGATCATGTGTTTTTATATAAAGGTTGTAAATCATTTTAAATTAAAAAAAAGTTTCTTAAGCCAGTCTTTTTTTTCTTCCTGTAAGACAAGTAGGAACTTGTAGTGTTAAGCCAAGAGGGAGGAAATAGGAGACGAAGAAATGTTGGCAATGTTGGCTGCTGAGGGGGAGAGCAACATGCTGCATGCTTCTGAGCAGACCCCGATGTTTTCACTTGTTGTTTGGGCTTTTGTGCTCAAGTTCTGAATTATAAATTAATATTCTTCCAGCAATTTAAAAATCTGCATCCACTGTGGATTTTTTGCCTGCAGGTTTAATTTTTTTTATTCAGAACTGGACAGAATGCTTGGATATTTTGGTGTATGGGTGTCTTTTGGCCTCCTGTCCCCATTCCTGCAAGCTGTAGGGGCAGTTGAGTGTTCAGAGAAAGAAACAGTACTGTTTGTGAAGCCCAGCTCCATGAAGAAACCAACGGACTGTTTGGTAGAATGCAGTTTAATGACGTACGAGAAGAAACTGGAGCTACAGGACAATCACAACATACGGATGTTAGACTCCACAGAAGGTAAGGAGATTGTTTTACTAAGTTTAGCTCATGTTATGCCAAATCTAAATTTCTGTGTTCTTGACTCGAGCTTTTTAGCTTTCAATCCACAAAATGACAGTAGCAGACTCGTGACTCCACATTTTGCAGGTTTAAATATACAATTGTTGCATATAAAAGTCTTAAACAAGAGCATAAGGACAACACATATAACTACTTAACTGTAACACAATTTTTATCAAATGTGTTGTACTTGTTCTTGTAATAATAATGCTGAAAATATGCCATTAGCTATGATTTTGAGAGTTAATATGACATCTGGAAATTATCCGAGGACCGTCACTTTCTGTTTCATGACTCATAGTGGGCTCCGGACCCCAAGTTTGGAGATCTAAACTGAGCTAAATGTAAAGAAATGATCAGGAATGAAAGTGATGATCTTCAGTTCATCAATGAGAGCCATATATATTTTTAATAGAGAATGTTAGTAGAAATAAAACATTTTCATCCTAAACAATAACATTTCATTGTTCCCCTTTTCTAATTAAACATTTTACTGTGAATCCACCTCATAGTCCCATTTAAAAATATATGAAACAACTCGATTTATGCATTTTCCTTGACCTTTCTTAGTTTTAGCATATTTCTTAGTTCATAACTGTTTTTCTTTACAATTTATACTTTCGTTGGATGTAACTGGAACCCTGTATGTGGTGCAAATGACAATAAAGAACCTTGACTTGACTTTGAGTTGATACGTTGAAAATAAAATTGTGATAATTTGCTGTATATTATTAACATGCATGTGACTGACGTGCAAAGACATTTTCAGTTTACTTTTCCTGGTATAAAAGAAACAACAGATACAAAATAAAGCATCTTTAAATTGTAAAACCTATTCTTTACCCATCTATTGTGAATATACTTCTTCAGACTTATTTTATTTTGGCAGGAGAGCTTGGGGAGTACTGCTGGTCCACTGAGCTCAAGTGCAACATAGGAGAGAGGTTTTTGAACGCCTACGTGGTGCTGCCCGTGGATTTATCTGCTGTGAGAAATGAGCTCCTGGAAGTCAAAACCACAAGCCCGACTGCCACGACCTTACACATGCATAGCAGCCCCACCACCGTTGCAGAGAGCTGTGGCCTCCTCTACCAAGTCACATCGTTTTTCAGCACGCCGAATGTGCAGACGTCATTGTTTTGCATGCAAGTGGAGACCCGGGAAAACCAGCAGGGGGACCGAGTTCTTACATGTCCCCCATATCTGGTCTCCTTTTGGCAGAGAAATCCAAACCAGTCCAACCAACAAGGTGCTGGATGAACTGTAAATTGACTCAAACTGTTTTATTTTATTTTATTTTTTCTTGAGTGGCCATATAGCTGCTGTGAAAGTTCTCAGTTTAAATTAAATACATAAACAGTATGTAAATATATAATCAGAAAACTCAAATAGTAAGTATATTATACAATGTGGAATAGTTCTACCACGTAATTTTATTCTTGTAATTTTGGTTAGAGATGTTGGCGATGGATTTTGATATTTTATGATCAACGGTGTTTTAAATTATTGCTGGAGCAGGTAGTTGGATGATCACCCCCAAAAAACGCAACTTGGATGAAAAATGTTTTATCTTTGAGACATATTGTACCAGCTGCAGAACAAATTGGCATTTATTCTTTGGTTGTCAACTGTTAGATATGAGGGCATAGATAAACCCTGAACTGATTAGAATTAGTCGTGACTTGAGGCTTCATGAAAATAAAACCAGTCCAAATTCTCACTTTGCAATTTCACTTTTCTCCAACCATCACAGTTTTTAAAAATTCTGTAAATAAACTTGTGCGATGCTTCAATAACAAATACAATTATTACAACATTTAACATGAACACACGTTAATTATCATTTGAGTATTTCAGTTTTAACACAAACATGATGTTGTGAAAGTAGGACTAAGAATTTAACCTTTGTATCTAAGAATGCCTAAACACAGTTACACACAATTAACAAGATAGTTTGAATATTTATACATTTTTGTTTTGAGTTAAATAGAATAGATCATTTTTATACACTTTACTCCTATCATAAAAAAGCACATGTTGCAGTGTGTTCACTCACTTGTTTTCAGTCCCTGCTCTGCTCTTTCTGGTGCCTATCCAAGCAGTCAACAGGAAACAGGTGTGGCACCTGGAGAAACATGCACAGGAAGGCACCAGCTAAGATTTGACTCACAGATCTTGGGGGGGCATATTATGATGCTTTCAAACAATAATTCCTGCTTGTATTATGACCATGTGTCATTCATAGATGACGTTCAGTCAGAAAAGTTTGAATAATGTGATTCCTAGAGCTGGACTTGTTCTTTATAGATCTATCAAACAGACTGTGTGTTTTCTGCCCGGTAAATAAGCTCAACAGAAGCAGGCATTTGAGTACAAAGTTATGATTTATCTACAGTTTCAAGACATTTGCGGACTTCTGCAACAACTGCTTAAATTATTTATCCAAGTTCATTTCGATTCTTTAAGGACCGTAAAACTGAGTTTACGAGAAGACTCAGGTGAAGAGCAAAGATGGGAAGAATAATATATCACTTGGCTTTGGCCAGTTTAAAGTTGTATATTTTTCTGGTTTGTAACAATCAGAAAATCAAAATACCAGAATGTCTTTGTTATATGTGCTTCTTGTGACTTCTGTTGTATTCGTCATTGATGTTTTGAGTCTGTATTGGCAATTTTAGCTTAGATACAAATAGAGACCAGACCAAGATTTTACTGTACCGTTAAATGTCTAATTGAGTGTAACTTTCAAAGTCGAGCAAGATTTACAGAAACCACAAAGCAAGACAGCTGCTAACACATTTAGATGCAAAATCAAAAGAAGATAATCATTCATATTTAAAAGGGATACACCTTTAAACATGTATTATTGATTTATGGAGATATTTAAAAATAACTTAATCCTTGCAGCACAGCATCACTTTATTTATGCCTGTCTGAAAACACGCTGCTTTCAGGCTCAGGTCTCCCTTACAAAAGAGATCTGTGATCTCAGTGGGTAATTCAATTAATTTGTACAACATGTCCATTATGTTTTTGTTTTTTTTTGCATGTGAGTTGAGATAATTTGGTCAATAAGAGATTTCATTGCTCATCAGTTGATGAAATCTGTGGTGCTTTACTTAAGCTCAAGAGCAAGAGATTGCCACCTGTTGGGTGTTACGTGAATTCAAAACGACAACAAATGACAGAAAAACCTTGTTTGTCTGTTAGCAAAATATCAAATGGAACGATGCACCAATGTCATAAAATTTCCAGAATGTACTGATCAGATGTACATCTACAACTCTTTAACTTTTGGGACTTACCCAACTCAAGATGGGGAAAAATGGCTATAACAGTTGCTAATGTTTGTTGTGCTGAACTTAAATTAAATTTGTGCTTTAACATTTGCTCGGCCTGTGGGACAGTTTCTGTCATCTGTAGCAGCTCAGGATTTTCTAACTGTGCAGACTGTGAACCTGAGAGTGCACGTGTGATGGTAAACCCATTTAAAATAAGCACCAACGAGAAGAAAGCAAACATGATCCCAAAATAAAAAAAATAATAAAAAGAATTGCTGTTTTGAGAAAATATGATGCAAGGAGACTAGAGGTGGGCTGCATTTTGATAATTCATTATTCAGGAAAAGAAAACAAATACATGTTTTTTTGTTTTAGTCCTAATTTTGGTAAAAGTTTATTTATTTTTTACAGCTGAAGTAAATCATTTGTGACATCTTGCTGCTGATTTACTTCCCCAAAAAAGTTTGAGTCTGCACCTGAAAATAAAGTGGTCATGACACCATCTTTTTATTTTATTTTCCTTTCCAGCAGTAAACAATTTTTTTTGTCTCAAACCATCTTTTTGTGACTATTTTCTATGTAAATAAAATGTAAAGATGGAGATGGATGTAAATCTTGAAAGAATTGAGCAATGTTTTTTTCTTCAACTAACAAAGAGGAGTCAGTTTTTTTCACATTTTTTAACAATTAGGAAGCAGGGATGCAGAGGGTGCTGCAACACCCCTTGATGGTACAGTACAGCTTTGCCAAATTTAGATTCCATCTATGATTTTGCTCATTTTAGCATTTCACTACTTATTAATTTGATTCTTTATCTATTTAACTAGTTTTAGCATTTTGCTGTTTTGCTAATTTTAGTATATGGCTTACTTAATTATAGCTTTTAACTTCTATTTCTCTATTTTTCTTTTATTAACAGCTTTGAGTAACTATTTTGCTCATTTTAACTATAAAGCTATAGTCAAGCAAATTAGATTTTTATTTTTACAATTTATGGTTTACTTAAATTTTGCTTTTAGTGTGTTTGATTTTAGCTTTTAGCTATTTGATTTCTAACTATAGTTTTTAGCTATGGTTTAGCAAATTTTAGCTTTTAGCTATGGTGTAACTTATTTTTTGCTTTTAGCTTGTTTTCCAAATTTTCTTTTAGCAATAGTTTAACTGTAACTTTTAGGTACAGTTTTGCTTATTTGAGCTTTTAACCACTTGTACTCATTTGATTTTTTTAGCTGTGGTGTAGCACATTTAAGCCTTTAGCTATGGTTTACATTAATTTAGCTTTTAGCTACTGTTTAGCTAATCTTAGCTTTTAGACACAGTTTTACCTGTAATAGTGATTTTACATTTATAGCTGTTCTGCTTTTTAACCTATATGTTTAAAAAAATGCAGAAAATTTTGGACTTGATAAATATACTACCATTTCTCAACATTAAATCATGATGTATTAGGATTTTGTTATTTAAGCTGCAGCGTCAGAGTTTATAAATACTGTAAATACTGAGGATTGTACCAACTTTGTTGCGGGGGGTAATGCTGAAAGTTTTAACAAACTGCAGGAAAGGCGACATAAAAAGTATGAATATAGTTTAGACTAGTTTATATAAATCATTTAGTTTGTGTTTAAGCGTTTAAAAAAAAAGGAGCACGACTGATTCGTGAATGTTTTTCGACAAAATGTGAGCGTATAAAACTGAGCTAGGCCCCGGAAGGAGTGGAACAGTCCAGAATAGAACGGTCAGACTGGACTGATCCCAAACACGCCCGGATACAGCGAACGGTCTGACTGTCACGTTGAATGATTAAACCAACTTTACTGGTAAACGATGTGACCCTGCGTGGAAAAAACCTCGGCGAGGACCGCAGGAATCAGATGACAGCCAACTTTGGCAGCTGGGAGAGGCGCACCGCAACAACATGGCATCTCAGCCGAGGTAGGCAGCCCCCTCCGCGGCTAGCAGCTAGCAGCTAGCCCCTCTCTGCCCCTCGGGGTAATCAGCTGGGGACGGTCCGCCTGCTCGGTGGCAGCGCTCCAGACACGTCAACAAGTAAAATAAATAAATAAACTTGAAACTTTATGCAAGCGCTATAAGAAGATCATTGTCAATCCTCAGCTGGGAAACTAACTTGCAGAGAAGCGTGATGTTTCAGGCTGAGAGAAGGTGGTGGAATCAGCTGGAAGCAGCTGGGACTAAACCAGCTGGTCGTTTAAATGGACACTTTAATACAAACTGGTCGCCCACCAGTTGACCTCACACGTGTTTTAATTTACGTATGTCGAATAACTCCACTTTTAGGAGACTTGAAAACCGAAATCGGATTGAAATGATTCGGTTTTCAAACAGCTGCAGATTCATGTGTTTTTGCTTCATTTAAATGAAGCAGGTTTGTTTCTGTTAAATTGTAGTTCTGCAGAAAAATGTTGTCCAAATGGACAGCACATAGGACTATTGTTAAATTACATTACATTAAATTAAAAATATTTATGATAATCTTCCAGTAGTTTTTTTTTTCTTTCTAAGTATTGCTTTATTTACTCTTTGCTACTACTAATTTAATTTAGGCACAAAGGAGATCATGTTTCCTATAATTCAGCACATTTTTCTAGATGTTGAGTTTGGTTTATTAGTAGCTAAGACTTGACCATCACACACCGAGCATTACACATACAACATTTTTGATTAAAACTTTGGCAATATATCAACATCAACCATCCCTTCGTCTGTTTTCAAAATGTTTCATAAACCACTGGATGAAAATGAAAATCTCAGGAAGTAATCGTTGATGGTTCATCTAAACTGAATAACTTTTGTAGTCAACCCACTGTGAGAGGCCAGCACAGCTAATGGACCCAACACAATATTGGTTCTCACTCAGATTTATAAATAGTGATCTAAAGTTTAACGAGATCGTACCTGAGCGTCATCCTCAAAACATAATTTGCGTGTTAATGTATCTTTCAATATCATATGGTTTGACCATTGGATCAGCGGTCAGTGCTGTAGTCTCATTATCTCCAAGTTCCAGGTTTGAGCCCAGAGTAAAACAAATGCCAAAGTCTTTCTTGAGCTGGCATGTGGAGGTGTTCGTTTGAGCTGGTGAAGAATGAAGAGACTTCAGGGTCCAGAATACTCTATTCAAAGCTGAACCGTCGACGTATGGTCACATGGTTTTGGGATGTCCGTTGTCGTACACATCTTTCATAGTCTACGAGACACGTGTGCAGAGCTCCTGAGAAACCCCTCCTGCCGTAGTATACATCACCACACAGGCTTCTTCCTGCCAGAGTCTCCACTTCATCCCTGCATATGCTGTTTTGCCATGAATCTATCATGACGAAAGCTCACTTTTCAACAGTCGGACTCCTTCATACACGATATCTGCGTAATTTTCATCTGGCAGTTTTTGGTCATTTGGCTGATTTAGTGCATTTAAAGAATCCTACAGCTGAATGTCCGAGTGCATTTCCGCATTTACAAACACGCCCACATACCCGACCAGTCACACAACACTTTTGGTCTGGGCCTTGTGTCGAGAAGGGACGGACACGCTACTCTTAAGATCAAAATGATGTGATTTGCATTGCGTCATGAGAGCTGATTTTGCAGCGTCGGCTGGAGTATGCTGGGCCCTTCAATTCTTACAGATCCATACCATTGTTGTGGCAACATGCTCACCTTTGCTATTGTTTTCTAAGTAAATCATACAGGTATAGCTGAAGTTAAAACCATTATCGCAATGTGTAACTATAAAATTGCAATGTTTTACTTCTCAACAGTGGTGTAGTAGATGGTCAATCACTAAATAAAATGAAAACGTTTGCAGTTTCTACACGTCTTTAAAACGAGAAACACTATTTTGGAGAATGTAACTGCCTTGTGTAAGTTTTTATTGTGTAGTATAAGGTTTATATGCATACCACTGTTTGTTGCCGTTATTGAAAGATGCAAATGCAGAGGAGCTTGAATTGATTCGGCATGAGCCGATTAGCCATAACATTATGCCTATCCTAGTCTCATTAGGGCTCGGCCCCCCGCCACACACTTTGATTCCACTAAAACAGCCCTAATCTGCTGGGACTTGTGCTCCATTATACATCTGAAGGTCTGCTGTGGAATCTGGCACCAAACTGTCGGCAGCAGATCCTTTATGCCCTTGGAGCTGCAAGGTGGGGTCTCTGTGAATTGTACTTGTTTGTTCAGCACATCCGACAGATCGCAGTTAAACTGAGATTTGGACAAATTGGAGACCGAGTTCACACCTCGAGTAGTCAGTCGCCGATGGTGACCACTTCTATAAAAGCTGAAGTTGTAGTAGTTTTCTGGTCTGGAGCATTCAGATTTGGGTTAGCACAGTGCCTTGGAAGAAAGACGTCAGCGATGACGTGAAAGCAACTGTTCATGTCCATCAAACTGGAAAGTGTTTTAAGGCTGAACTTTTTGGATCCCGTCTGTTTAGTATCAGAAGTTCAACTTTAGGTTGAATTGTGTTTAAAGGAAGAAAAAAAAAAAAGCTGGTTTCCAAGATGTAGTCGGTTCTCTCTAAAATAACATGGTAAAATAAAATAACAAGGTTTGCAAGACTGCAATGCTTGTGAGATATTAACCGTTTGAAAGGTTGACACCAAATGAAGGCTATCTGGCTTTATTGGTGAAAATCAAATGCTGCACATCAACACACACCTCATCCTTCCTCTCAAGCATGGTCATGCAGCAGTTAAAATAATCTCAAGCACAGAAACAAATTTACAACAGAATGCCTGGAAAAAGAACAGAATCAAGAGTGTTGCAATGGCCTGGTCAAAGTCCAGATGCTACCCTCACTGAAATGCTGTGGCTGGGCCTTAAGAGAGACAAACAAAATGAAGACGGATTCTAGCACAACAATGCAAGAAAATGGCAAGGTTTTACAAAAATCTATAAAGTTTTTGCTTTAAAGGGAGTTTACAAGGCAATAAACTGTGTACCTTTTATTTATTTTCCACATACTGATTCAGTGTTGTTGCTTTTTAATGAGTGTAAAATGTGGTGTTTATCTAAAATCAAATTAAACATAAGGCTGGATCAAATTTGTTGTATACCTTGAAAAGGATATTGCTTTAAAACTACTTTTACTGCAAATGCAAATAAAGAATGAATCATTTGTTTTTGACTCGGGTCTAAAATTAAATTAAATTGTCAACTTACTCGATTGTTTTCCTCCTCAGTCTTAAACTGCCTTTTATTTAACAATTTTGTTATGGTATTTAAATTTGCATCTTTACACCACTCACAAGTAACCAAAGGCATTGGTAAGGTCCAACTGCGTATTAGTAATTAATGATGTCCCACTACTGTTACCAGCCAAATACTTGTACTCAGAAATACTTTGAAACTCCCGACCAATACCACTTTTATGCTCTGTGATGTCATTTTGTCTCCCACTGTGGAAGTAACCAGGGGAAAAAGAAAAAAAAAAAAAAGCCAGTAGTTTGTAGATATTTTAAGAGAAACTCACAATAAAATATTTCTAACGTCATTGAGTAATGTTAAGTTCAAACTTATTAACTATTTATCAGTATTCTGTATTGACAGGTACTCAAACTGATATATGAAGTACTTGTTTGAAAAATAAATAAATAAACATATTTTACCTATTGGTAATTGCTCATGTTTTCACAGTGAACAACTTATTATTATGATGATTTATTATTATTTTTTATTATTATTATTATAATTATTATTATTTTTTTTTTTACAGATGTGAAAGAACCATTTTATGCCACCAATCTGACGACTTGGTAAAGATTACGAATATGTTTGAGTTGAGTCAGTGCTTCTTATTTGGGGGAGGGAGGGTTTGAACAATCAACTTGGTTTTGTTATTTTTAAAGTTTTGATGTTCCTTCAAGCTTTACCAGAATGATAACACAATCAACAAAAATCTTAGACTAAATATCTACACCCAAGCTGTACTAAAAATATTTCTACGTTGAGTTTTCTATATCTGGTAAAAAAAATAAAAATGTTGCCAATTCATTCATTAGTTTTTGAGCAATCCTGACAAACGGACATACAACTGAACAAGCAGTATAATGTTGGGGCATGTTTCTTTTGAATGAATTGTTTTGTTTTTTCTAATTTTTTTTTTTTTTTAAGGAAATGTCTTAAGTTGTTTACCCCTGGTTGTAAGTAGCTTATCTTGGCAGTGCCAGCTGATATCCTAAGAGTTTTACCTATCTGCTACATTAATGAGGGAGTGCTCATCTGTTTGGCTTAGTCCCAAATCTTTGTTCTTCCACTTGTTGTCATGGAGGGATCCCTCTGGGGCTGTTGCCTGTTGGGATCATCAACACTGTACTTTGAGAAGAAAAATGTGAAATATGAAAATGTATCTTTCAATTTACAATAAATCCAAAGTGTATAGCGGTTCCTATTTTCAAATAATCTTTTTATGGGTTGCTTTTAAAATTCTTATTTTTTAAAAATGTCTAATACACCATCTGTCATCTTGTCAGATGACCTGTCAGGGGAGACGTGAATATTTTAGTGACTGCTCATAGCAGGTGTGAGTCAATTTACACTTGTCTGCTGATTTGATCTCCTCAGACATGGCAGCTTTACCCCTGAGGATGACCAGTCTGAGATAAAAACATACATTTGCTTGGACTGTATTTTCTGGTAGTTTTGTTGTTCTTCTAAAATTCAGTTCTAAAACGGACACAAAATAAGTGGTTTCTGTCTCAACAGTAAAACTGGAAATTGTCACCTATTCAATTCCCAGATTTTCATTAGTTACACCTGGCATGATGCACATGTTAAAGCTGCAGGTATTTATGTTGTTTATGTGCATTTGTCTTTCTTTGTAATGTTCCAGTGCGTACAACGAAGAAAGGAACCTTCTTCGCCGCCGAGCTTGGGAACAGAGGATCCAAGAAACAAGTCAAACCAAAGAATTTAACCCTGAAAATGTGCCACTTTTTGGGGAACCATACAAGGTAAGAGCTGACAAAGGGTGACACTGGTGCTTAGGTAACCTCCCTATTCCCTATTCCGCCCATTTTTCTATTAAAACAGTTGTGACATGTAGCAGGGTTTTTAATTTCTGTTTCTTTGAGTAACAATGTGTTCAACTGAGGTTTACTCACAAATATTGTACAAGTTCATTACCACTGGTGTCTAAGCAACACAGTGGGTGAGGGACGCTGTTTCTACTTTGTCATTAGGGTCAGAAAGAGCTTTATTTTGTCTTTGTGGATTTTTGCAAAAACATATGACGGGGTGATGAGGGAAGAGATGTTGTGTTACATGAGGAAATCTGGAGTGGCAACGAAGTATGTTAGATTGCTAGGACATGTATGAGGACAGCAGGACAGTAGTGAGATGTGCTGTAGGAATGACCGATGGCTTCAAGGTGGAGGTGGGATTGCATCAAGGATCGGCTCTGAATCCCTGTGGACTATGATGTTTTCATAGTCAAATGCATGCAATGCATTTGACTTTGTGGTCTATGGTGAGAGCAGGGAACAGGTGGAAGAGAACTTAGAGAGGTGGAGGTTTGCACTTGAAAGAAGACAAATGAAAATCAACCGTAGTAAAACAAAGTACGGTACATGTGTGTGAATGAGAGGGAGGCTGGTGGAACAGTGAGGCTACAAGGAGCAGAGGTCACAAAGGTGCAGGACTTCAAGTACTTGGGGTTCACTGTCCAGGAAAATAGAGAATGTGGTAAACGGGTGAAAAAGAGAGTGCACACAGGATGGAGTGGATGCAGAAAAGTTTCAGGAGTGATTTGTGACAAAAGTATGTCAGCAAAGGTCAAAGGAAAAGTTTACAAGATGGTGATGAGACCAACAAAGTTTTATGGTCTGGAGACACTTGGCATTGACAAAAAGACAGGAGAAAGAACTGGAAGTAGCAGAAATGGTTGAGGTTCTCCTGAGGAGTGACAAGGATGGATAATATTAGGAATGAGATCATCAGAGGACAGGTACAGCACAGGTTGAACAACTGGGAGATAAAGTTAGAGAGGCCAGACTGAGATGGTTGGACATGTCAAGAGGAGGGGCAGTGGGTATATTGGTAGAATATTAGAAATGCAGCTGCCAGGAAAAGGACAAAGAGAAAGACCAAAAGAGGAGATATTTGGATGCTTTTAGAGAGGACTTTGAGGTAGTTCAGGTCTCTCTTGTAAATGAGTCCTCGTGGCTCAATGGGACTAACCTGTTTAAATAAAGGTTGAATGAGTTGGAGTGAGGGCAGAGGACAGAGATGGAGAAGGATGATTCGCTGTGGTGACCCCTGAAGAGGGAAAAGCTAAAAGAAGAATGCATTCACTTTAATTCATGTTATTGAAATGTCTCAAAACTAACAATTTATGTATGGATGCAAATTCAGTCATAGCAAATTTTGGTCAGGTTTTCCATTTTTCCATTCCAATCACCACAACTTTTCTGCAAATTTCACCAGTCTCCTTAGTTCCCAGCCTGGTTTCATTTCCTGGAGTCTGAGCCTGCAAAATGAAAACATGTTTGATGCCAGAACATCATGTTATACCTCAGATAATATTGCTTAAATATGTGCAAGTCACTTTACTAAAGTATTACATAAAAGTGGTGGGAAAACTGGTTTGCATTGTATGCAAAATTGTGGTGGAACACGGATGACATTCTAAGATCTTGTCTACTTTAAAACATGTTAGAGAAAGGCTCTAATATGGGGTGTAGAGACATGACAAATAAGAATGACCAATGCTGTCGCATCCAAATAATACTTTTGAAATCCTGTGCCCTTTCTGAAAAGACAACATGAAACATTTGGTGTAATTTTTGTAAATTCATTTTATCCTTACCATGTTTAACAAAAAATAAGACCAAAACATGGAGTTTGCATGTTCTCTCCGTGCATGCGTGGGTTTTCTCCGGGTACTCCAGTTTCCTCCCACAGACCAAACATGCATGTTAGACTGATTGGTAACTCATGAGCGTGAGAGAGTAAATGGTTGTTTGTCTCGTTTGTCTCTGTGTCCCTGGGATGGACTTGCGACTTGTCTAGGGTGTACCCCCCTCTCGCACAGTGATTGCTGGACATGGGCAACAGCGACCCCCGCAACCTGAAAAGGAAGAAGCGAGTAAAGATATTGGATGGATGGATGGAATTATTTAGGGCTGTTCATGTCCCTAAACAACTTTTTTCCTTCCATTGTTTATCATTTGTGTATGATTGATTATCGCCTAATAATTCATTGTGAATTTACTTTAATATTGCCTGAGTGGTTAGAACAGTCGTCCTCCAATGTAAGAGTTGGGGGTTTAATTCCACCAGCAGTCACATGCTGAAGTGTCCCTGGGCAAGACGCTGAACCCTTCTTTTTATATTTTTACTTTTTGTTGGCTGATTTCAGCCTGGAGTGTGTGCCTTCTGTCTATTTTCATCCCCCTAATGGCCTTAATAACTTGTAGCTAAAATAGCTCAACCTCTGTGAACCCTGAGAGGCTAAAATCAGGGTCTTGAGGTCAATGTAATGCTAGATGCTTCTTCTGAAGGTTATTTTTGTAAGGACAAGATGATAATTTTGAACAAGACTCTAATGCACTTTGTAAATTTGTATCCGCCACTCTTCCTTTCCAATTTGGTTATTAGGGTAAATACATATGTTAGGGGGTTGTTTTGCTAACTAAAGAAAAATGAAGAAGTGGATAAAATAACGAATGAATAGAATAAAACATGAAAATAGTGGCATTGAAAAAGATTGTGGCAACCACTAGCAAATCGCCTCTATTGCATGTTTTTGTTGACTTTTGCAGGTATGATTATTCTGATGTTTTTAGATTGGTTACAGTTTGTTGGGAAAGTGTTTTTAATACAACAATGGAAAATGCCAATGAGTAATTGTTGCTGGAGAATTCTGGTTCTTTCCTATAATGTACATTTATTATTAAAGTGTGGTAAAATATGTTTTTGTTTTTGCTAGTCTTCAGTGTAGTTATTGTTTAAATGGGATTTTGTAAACTGAGACTTCAGTCTTTTACAGTGCAAAATGTTATTTCTCTTTGCAGACAAACAAAGGGGATGAGCTTTCCAATCGAATCCAAAGGATGCTGGGCAGTTATGAAGATGTGAATATTCCCTGTTCTTTTTCCCTAGAGGGTTTACCTATTCCTACCAAATCTTCACAGTCCCATCAGAGTCAGACAAACGAACATAAATCAACAAAAACTCCATTCCTCAATCAGGACTTTCACACATCTACCCAGAACGGGACGTCAAGTAACAGCTTTCCCTCTCATCCTGTGAGGGTGCCTACTGTTGTGTCTTCTCCAAACCACCATAAACATTTTTCCACTCTTTCAAAGACTTCTTTGAACCACAGTTCAGTCACCAAGTTCAGTTCAGTACAGCAACAAAAGGAGAGCGAACTCTTCGCAGATCTCAGGGGATGTGTTGGCCTTCATCAAGAAATGTCTGCCCAGTCTTCAGATGCTAAGCCTTTGAACCTTCTACATTCCACTGACCATAATATTGACATGGATACTAGGGACACTTTTGTTAGGCATCAGCTTCAAGGGTCTACAAATTATTCCTCCGAGTCTGCCGGTACCATGGATGCTTCCACACTGAACATTAGGCATTCACCTAAAGATGCGTCTCTGCCTCAAACAAAGACTAACACCCTACCCTCCCAGACATTTACTTCACTGCTTTCATCCAAGCAGTCTGGGACAGCAATGACCCAGAAACCAACAGCGTATGTGCGTCCCATGGACGGCCAGGACCAGGTGGTCAATGAGTCACCCAATCTGAAGCCATCTCCAGAACATTATGTACCACTTCCAGACCTAATAAACAATTCTGACTCTCTCAAAACAAAGAATATGCCACAGTATATGGAGGTAAGATTATTTTTTTTAGATCTTGTAAGTGTAATATTGTGACGTATAATAATATTAATGTCATTTATCCAAAGTGTGCCGTTTTACTTCTCAAACAAGTGTTGATACATTCTGTATATACAAGTGTGAATACTTTGCCACCCAAGGTTCTGGCCCAGCCATCGGCAGTAGTGTAGAAGTTTATAAGCGGTTTCTCGAAATCAAACTGAGCTTTGGATAGCTAGTGAAACTATGATTTTTATTTATTTATTATTTTTTATCTCAAAATTGGTCCAGGTTCTAGTGTCAGTCCCTTAACCTTTATGGCATTAGCTGTTTTCAAACCAAATGGTACTACGGAGCATTTGAAGATTACAATGTCTTAGTCCCCTGGAGCAGTTATAAGCATCCCTTCACACTAGATGATGACCCATTTATAATGTAGAACATCTGTCAGAATATAAGCGGTTTTTGCATGGTCTTGGTTCGTTCTTCAGATGTGTATTGGGAATGCAGTTGACTCCCCTTTAAGAGTGATGGTGTGGTAGGTCCACTATGGGTTTGAGGATTTGCAAATACTCTATATTGAGGTTGTAGTGGTTTATTATTGTGGTGGCAGGGTATGATTGTCCTGGCTGGCGTGGAAGGTAGCATGGTTGCACCAGTGGTGACATATATCCACAATGTGGTCCCGTATTTACCTACATGGCTTCATCGAGAATTTGGTAGGTTGCAATCACATTAGAGGTAATGTCATTTTATTTTTGGATGTAACTGGGACCCTGTGTACATAATCTCGTTCCACCACATGTACCACATGAGATGTGAATGACAAATAAATCTCTGACTCTGTCATGTAAAAACCTATTGCAGAGTGATGCCATTAGTTGTACTGTTGTGCTATCATGGCGTGATCTTCTAGTTGCAACCTGACATAGACTGAGAGAGTTCTGCCAGTATAAAGGGGGCCTAAGAACTTGCGTGTTTGTTTTTGCACCAGGAGAATTGTGTTATTATGCCTACAATGAGGAACTAGTAGAAGCTATGTACGCCTTTGGTTTAATTTTTAAAGCTTAGTTTAAAAGTGCTACTTCAGTTAACATTTGTTGTATAAATGTTTATTTTTTATCACCTTTCTCACCGTTTTGAACACTGTGTGTGCACATTAAGACCAAGGATGATCCCCAAACCATTTTTGATTTGTCTGCTACTCTTCAAACATTTGCAAAGTGCACAATGCTCATACTCTAAATCCTCGCACTCCGTATTACCTTAAATACGTAGTCTTACCGTTTGTTTTAAAGCATCCAGTATGGTGTATTTGTCGTGTAGTCTGTAGGCTTTTTGTGTGTGTCTTCAGCTGCCTCAGATAAATTTGTTCCTGGGATCAGTTGAACAATTCATAAGATTTGTCACCAACTTGCATAACTGTTCTGTGGACTTGTTCAGTCTGATCTTATCTTAAATGCAGAAGAAAAAAAATCAAGACACCTGAAAACAAACAGAAAAGTAGCTATTGACTCGTTCACACACAGTTTTAATCTAATATTGAATTTAGCTTGTTTTTTGCCTCATATTTTATACTCTGTCACTTCTGTGGGTGTTGGAGACTCAAGAATCTGCTATAGGTTTAAATGTTTTGCATAAGTATTTATTTTTGTTTATTTTACAGCAAGTTTATCTACTGTCCCTTTTGGGCTAAATAAAATGCATAACTAGAAGCATTGGGAGAGTGCACACCTCTGCCAAGACCTAAGGGTCACTCACACAGTCAAATCTTGCACACAGACAGACAGGAATCCTTTAAAGTATAAATCATTTCTTCTTCGTGACAACCTCAATATTTCCTGAAAATTTAATAACGATCCGTTCCTAAATTTTTTTTAGTAATCTTGTGCACAGACAGACAAACAAACAAACCAACACTGAAAACATGACCTCCTTGGCGGAGGTAACAATTTGTCTTGTATATTGCAGCAATTAGTTGTTAAGTTATCACCGCTAATCATGAGGTACATGATCTTTTAATTTTAAGTCGGTTAAAAACAATTTAATCTTAATTTAGTAATTGTAAGTGGCTAATAATCATTCTGTTTCTTTAGACAACAGAAGAACTTGAGTGTGTGGAAGACATCTTGATGGTAAGTTCTGCTGCTTATTCTCTTATTTACAGGTGAAGGGCACCTGAGCAGAAGTTGATAAATTTCATCTTAAATCTTGTTTTGAAATTTTAACTGTTGAGCAGGACAAACTGAAGGCTCTTGCACAAACGTGTTTCACGAAATGACTAAAAAGACTGGTCTTTCTTTACGTCTATCTCTGTCTGTTCATAAAACACTTGTAAAACCAGCCACGTCTTGCACAGATGTGTGCTTGTAGAAATGATCCGAGCATTGCTGAACCAAAAAAGTTTAGACCAGAACTTGACTTCATTGGCTGCGAGCGCAAAACATTAAATGAGTCTCCCTGTATCATCTTCAAATCTTGATGAAGGAATCCAGTTTAGCATTTTTCTTTGTGGCTATCTAATACTTTTAACAAAAAAAAAAGTGTGTCATTATTGAGTAATAAATCTATTTATTGTTTAAATCGGTGAATCTGTTGAATAGAATGGAGCATTTTTTTTAAACATATTTTTCTGAATATTCCGTTACAGGAAATGACTCACTCATGGCCCCCTCTACTGACAGCTGTACACACACCTTGTTCTACTGAACCCTCCCAATCTCCATTCCCAGCCAAGGTGAGAGATCAGAGGTTGATATTAATATGTTATGTTCTTTGTCATACAAACAACACAAGGTCAACAGTGCAATGAAATGTTCAGGACGATACAAACTGACTGGACTCACTAGAAACAAAAAAAACAGCAACAACAACAAACAAGAAATACTACAGCATGCAATAAGGGTACAAAATAACGTACCAAAAAGTGACAAAGAAAAATAAAATTTACAAGGTCCAAAAGAAATGTAGTAAACACCAACATGGTAGGTAGAATATAATAGTGCAAATATAATGATTTTGTATGGAAAGTATTTCAAGGTAGTAATATAAACTTAAATGCACATGATATATACTGCACATAACCAACATAAACTACACTGGTTGTGTGACAGGTTATTGCACAGGTAGTGAGTGACATTGAGATGAATTGAATTATGATGGTAAGGTAGTGACATACATGATAAAGCCACATAGTGCAGCAGCAATAAACATATTGGGTGTCACAGATGTGGCTTGGTGCAAAGTTATTGTCAAGAGTTCAGTAATCTCAGAGTTCAGGTCTCTCTTGTAAATGAGTCCTCGAGGCTCAATGGGATTTACCTGTCTAAATAAAGGTTGAATGAATGAATGAATAAATGAATGAAAAATCTGACAGTTTGTGGATAATGTCTGTTTTTGAGTCTTTTCGTGCACGATGACAGACTCCTGTATCGTCTGCCTGAGGGTAGTAGATGGAAGAGTCCTTGTGCTGGGTGGGTGTGGTCCTTAATGATGCTGCGTGCTTTACTCAGACATCGGCTGTGGTAGATGTCCTGGATGGTGTGGAAACTGCTACCAGTGATGTCCTCTGCTGTTTGCACCATCCTCTGCAGATCTTTCCGACTCTGACTGGTGCAGTTCCCGTACCACCCTGTAGATGCAGCATGTCAGAGTGGCACACCCATAACAGTTAGTGAGGATGCTGGTGTTCGTACCAAACTTCTTTAGTCTTCTTAGGAAGGTAATAGCCTGACTGCACTTAAGTTTGCAGGTTTTCTAGTTTTAATATATTCTCCAGTTTTATTTACTATTTACTTATTATGTGTACAGCACTTTGGTCATGAGGGTGTTTAAAGTGCTCTATAAATAAAGCTGGTATGGTACTATTTGTTCATCCAGTCAAACATAAAAAAGCCCAAGTTCAAATCTTTTTTTTTTCTCAGTGTAGCATACCGTAATTAATGTAAAACCATATTTCCATAATAAAAAATTAATGTATTTGGTGTGTTGTAGGAAGTGTACCATTCAGTGAGCTCTTGCAGCTTACATATTATCAGATAACTTACACTAAATATTAATGCATCCTGAAGGAAAAGACCCTTTCTTTCTATCTTTTTCTGGTGAAAACCTGAAGTGACTCGGACGATTTAGTAGCTGTTTTTACTGAAACCACAAAAGTTTTATTCTCATGTAGATAAGCACATTATAATTTAAAAAAATGCCATGAGATTTATCACACTCTTTGCACTTAAATTTTATTTTTTTTTATTTTTTTTTACGTAAACGACATATATTTCTCTCATGACCATATTTTTACATCTCAAAAGGGGGAATAAATGTGGTTGGTGATTCAGCATTTTGTCTTTTTAATCATTTTAAACTTTACATGTTAATATTTAAATGCTAAACTCCTGTTCTGTAGCGTTTTAACAACTTGAAAGACTGATAAAACATAAACCCTGCTGTTAAAGCAGTTATCTGTTTATTATAAATACAAATATACTAATATTAGTTTAATGTTTGACTTCTGTGTTGACAGGAAGCAGAACAAATCACATTATGTCCAGAACAAAGTGAGTAGTTATAGAAGCTATAAGAGTTTATCAGAACTGTGTTTATGCTACATTCACATCAGTGTCTTTATGTTATTGTTTACCAAGGTTCAAGCTTGTTTTTGTGTGTTTGCATGCATGTGTGGGATTAATATTTATCAATTTGTTCTTCTTTAGACAATCCTGATACCTCTCCTGTAGCTCTGTCTCATTTCAACAAGCAGAGCTCCTCAGTGTGAGTTGCTGAACTTCTTTTTGTCGGGATTTCATAATGTAATGTTGATCATTCAGCGGCGTTTTATCGAAACTGCTACTGTGTTTATTTATTACATTTAATCATCAGTTCATCACCAATTGAGTAATCACATTAGTCACAGAAAGAAGGAAAAATGCACATTTTAATTTCACACAGTTCAAAGTAAACTGTTTACATGACAAAAGGGCTGGTAAAGAGAATCGTTTTAGTTTAAGATATTGTTTTGATCAGAAATATTTTGAAAATTGTCATTAAAACGTTTAATTCTTTTAGCAAGTTTTACAGATGTGCTGCTGTATATCTGTATTATAGTCCAGTGAACGCTGCACATTCCAGCGGTGCAGAGATGTCGAGCTCCAGTGAGTCAGAGAGCAGCCGTGAGTCGGACAGTGAAGGCTCCACCGAGGAGACACTTCAACTACCAGAAGGCAGCTTAGTTAAAACCGAGGTAATGTATTACTATAGTGCATAGTGCATGCACAGAATAAAGAACTGGTATGTTCTTTTTATTTCCCTAAATCACAATGCTTGTATTTTAACAGCCTGACGCTCCAGTAGTGAATTATGGTGACTGGCAGCTGGTGCACTTTATCAGATCCAGTCATCAAAAGTCCAACGCTGATTCGTCTGTCTCTCAGAGTCCCTCTCACAAGCAGCTGCTGCCCACTCAAAGCTCCAAACTGGCCAGTGGAGAGACCAGTAAGACGTCTACGCTTTCCAAACTTCAGCCTTTTTCTGAACAAAAAGATCCTGGAGATGATCTGCCGGTTCCTCAGCAGTGCAAGGAAATCCACCAGAACAACTACCTCTGCCAGCAGAGTCACAACAAATCTCTTTCTCCTGAAGTGAGTTGCTTTAATAACCCCCTGAAACTCTCAAAGCAAGCGACAGATGACTCGGATCACACTGAAGCAGCACTTGATGTGAAGTGTGAGGACTTTGCAACCACACAAACAAAAAAAGAGTTGCGTTTTCCAGATAGACCCAAGATAAAGACAAAAACTGGGCATCGGAAGAAGAACAGCACTGACATAAAAAAAGACATTAAAAGGACTAAATACACCAAAGTTGTTGAGAAGCAGAAGGTTGAATCAGAAGTCACACCTGTGCTGTACGGCCACTGTCCATTATGTGGTGTGAGTTACCCCAACACCTGTTCCTGCCCCACCCAGAGTCCTGCTCAGCCTGCTGAACCGTCCTCTGCCCCACCCATTAAAACCAGCTGTAAAAAAGCCAAGAAAGAGACTGTACAGCAGAGCAGCAACAAGGTACCACAGAAATCAACCTTCAAGCACTTGGAGAAGTCTGGGAATGTAGCCAAGGCATCCCAAGACAAATCTCAGCTACCTAGATCCCTGTTGGTCAAGATAGACCTAAGTCTGCTCGCAAGGGTACCCCAGACGTCCATCACTCACGAAGGGACTCCCAGCAGTGCAAAGAGACCTTTGGTCTTAGAGAAACATGAAGAGGGCGGCGATGCACACAAACTCACCAAAACCAGGAAAAAGGCTCAAAATGTGAGTAATATGAAGTAAGTGGCTTCACTTAAAGGAAATATATTTGATTGTGTGATCATTTTCATTTAGGTTGAGGAAGAAAGTAAAACCCTTCCCAAGAAGAAACAGAAGCTGGAAAACAAGAGCATCTCAACACCTTGTGCTTCTGTGAAAGTAGAGTACGTCTGGCGTCTCTGACAACCAGGATTTTGCTCTTCATTGTATTGGGTGTGTACAATAATTACCAGTCTCATCACTTTACAGAAGTTCCACCAAGCCGTCCGGGGCACGGGCGCAAAAGAAGGCCAAGAAACATGTCCAGGACCCAGCAACATCCAAAGGCGCTTCCACAAACTCAAAGGCGCACAATCACTGTTCTGGGAAGACACGAAACTCCTACAAGGAGGCTGGAAAGGGCCAAGTTTTCCACGACAACAAGAAGAGCGGTGGAAAACGCACAGACAACCAAAAGGTAACTGTTCAGACAAGGTGATGTCTCTTTTAAATGTAATAATCGCAAATGTAACCATTTATACCTTCTAAAGCTCCAGCAAAAACCCTCAAAGAGCAGCTGTGCAGTAAAAATAACTTCACAACCCATCAGGCCCCTGCTAATATTTGATGAGAGGTAAAATTAACAAGAATAAGACGTTTTTGTTATTTCTAACCACTCAAAATGAGGCCAGTTTTGTTTTAAAGTTGATTAATTATGTTGTAAAAGCTTGTCTCCACGTATATTCTCTGTTTTCTCCTGTTTGAACCACAGACAGTACCCAGTGAAGTATTACATAAAAGAGGCCAAAAAATTGAAGCACAAGGCAGATGCAGAGGTACGTTTCTCCTAGTCTGATGTCTTTGGCCGACACAAGGATAAAAGTAAGGGTTTTTTGTTTGTTTGTTTTCCGTCCTATAGACAAATAAGCTCAGTAAAGCCTTCAACTATCTGGATGCCGCCATGTTCTTTGTTGAAAGTGGGATTGCGATAGAAAAAGATCCACAGATTTCAACGTCTTCCTACACGATGTTTGCAGAGACCGTGGAGCTCCTGAAGTAAGAACCCACTCCTGTCATTAACCACCAGCAGCATCAGCACTTTTATACTAACTTTGTCATTCTCTGCATGTAGCTTCTCCGTTATAGCTTTTCACACAGATTTGGACTGAAGTACAACAAATGAACAGCTTGTTTCTTTTCTCCTCACAGATTTGTACTGAAACTAAAAAACCCAGCAGACTCCTCTGCTCCGCCCTCAGAAAAGGACTTTTTAGCTTTATGGTAAGATGATGCTTAGTGTGCTTCATGTTAGCCTTTTTTTTTTTGCAGTTTGTTGCAGATTGATCATTTAATCTTTGTAAGTGAAATCCTCAACAACACAGAAAGTCAATATTTTTAAAGAAATGAGAACTCGCTGCATCAGTAGTGGTTTTGTAACTTGTTTGTCCTGGGAATGCATTTTTCTTTATTCTCATCTCAACCACGTAGACGTGCAGACATACACTTGTATACAAAAGTTTAAACTTTTTGATTTTGAAAAGATGGTCTAAATTATCTGTGAAACTAATTGAAGCACATAGAACACTGGATGCAATGTTTTTTTAATTTATTTTAGATGAGGGATGACAAAATATGATTAACTTATCTCACTGTTTTCATGTCAATAGTTTAAAGAGCCAGTCTCTCCTGCAAATGGCCATGTTTCGCCACAAACAAAACACTGCACTGAACTTTTCAAAAACCCTCACCGATCACTTTAATGTAAGTAATAAAGGTGTTGCTGTTTTTATCATTTCTGTGATATTTAAGTGTCAGAAAGTGTTAGTTCAGTTTGTCTTTCAGACCTCTGCTCAGGCGACACACAATCCGCTCAGCAACGTGTCGTCTCCAGCCCACACGTCGGCCAGCTCAGGTCCAGGATCAAACCAAAGCACCAGCAGCCTGGGGGTGACGATTCCTCAGGAGATCGAACAAATGGTCTTCTCCTACGTCAACATCACTACGTTGTTCTTAAGCGCTCATGACCTCTGGGATCAGGCGGAGGAAGTGGCGCACACAGGCAGTGGTAAAAATGAATAATAAACTTTTTTTTGTTTAGGGATGCATTATATTGGATTTTTGGCCAATATCCGATATGTTAAAACTTATTTGGCTGATAACCAATACCAATTTTTTTTTTCCCTAGCCCTACTTACAGAGACTACACAGCTTTCTCTGCTGTGGAATTAAAATACTACATTATTCTGCATGGTCTGTGTTAATTTGACCTGCTGCCAAATGTAGATGTCAAAAAGGGGGCTGAAAATGATGTAACACTTCAACTTGATTATGTTTAATGTCAAATGTATTCATGACATTTACTAACACAATGACAACACTCGTCGGAACAGTGCACATTTGTAAATTTTCACAAATCTAAACTCAACGGCGCGCGTGACGTCATAACATTGTGCTGGCACTGTAGACATCCTTGTCACTGGATTGTCTTACAAAAACAGCACATTTGTTATATATGTGTGTATATGTGTATATATAGTGTGTGTATAAACGGCACCTTTTTTATATCGGTGAATTATTTTGATGGAATGTCTGATATTTAACTTTATCGCTAATATCGACCGATACGTGCTGGTAATACAATGCGTCCCTAATTTTTTACATTTAAGCACTGTTATTTCAGTTTTTGTAAAACATAATAATTTAGATTTACTTTTCAAATGTTGACGGTGAAAAGTTAGGCTGTGCCTCTAATTTCTACACAGTCAGGTGATTAATTATGCTGGTAATTTTAGTTTGTTATTGTGGAGTTGTAGACATGTTAACATATTGACCATGAAGCCTCAAACAAACAGAACAACTGTTGTTGACAGTGTTTGTATACATTTTATTTCAGGTATTGCATGGTACAGTTAAATATTTTACCGTGGGATGTTTAAGTGTTGGGATCTCTTTCATGGCATAACTTTAATGGGTTTGAGGTTTAAGATGTTATAATTATGTAGTTTGAGGTCTATGAAACATCTGGATTTGTCTGAACATCTAGTTGTTGGTCTTTTAAACATTTTACAGAACACCTTGTTGCAGCAAATTATCAGCTCAGTCACCTGCTTTATGAACAGATTAATGATTCAGTGTTGAATAGAAAGTTCAGATTTTAATAATTTTTTTGTATTCCCGTGTTTCAGGTTTGTTAGCAGAACTGGACGCGGTCCTCAGCCCACTGAGCCTGACTTCTACCATGAGCTCTATGATCTGCTACATAAGACAAGGTGTCCACTGGCTGAGGCTGGACAGCCAAAAGGTATGAAACTGGAGGTCTGCAAACACGTCAAGCTGCCTCTTCACTTCAGCCTGTGCCATCTGACCTGAAGGCTCGTGCCAGATGTTGACATCTGTCTTTCTCCTTCATTTTGTCAATCAATGCCATTTTATTGTTTTCCCAGCTTGGAGATGACACTAAATAATAGTGGCTTAATTATAGAAGGAAGCAAATGAAAAATGACTAAAAGTGCCCCTTTTGGCTTCTGTGACTCTGCACTGTGGTTCAAGTCATGAGCTGAATCTTATTTATTCTTATTATAATATTTGTTTGTGTTATTTGACTGAAATCAGGAAAATGTGGCACTTGAATCATCCATCACCACACAGTTCTTGTCAACTACTTTATTTCTCCTGGACGTTTTATTTTCCTCATTTCATTCTGAACCACTTATTTCAGAATAAAACCAGGAAACGAGTCATTTAGATTCTGTGACTTTTATTTTAATTAACGACACAATATCTCATCATACTGTATTTCTTTAAACATTTCTACTATTGTCTGAAATCAGATTTTCACCATTTTTGTTGCAATTACGTACATGGTTTTTGCCCAATTGCACACATTTATATTCAATCAAACTTTAAATGATTAAGTTTGGCTAATCCTGTGTTGAAATCTTTTTTTTTTCATGTGCAATAATAATAAATAATTAACAATTATGTGCCTTAGTGTTGGGTTTATAAGAAATGTTTCTACAGTTTTAGATTTTGTCTGACGCAGAACTCCACATCTATCAGGGGTAACGGCAGCATTCTTGATTTCATCTCTTTTTTTACGTCTGAATTTTTCTGCTGCTGTTCAGAAGTCCGTCAGCATCATGGTTCTGCTGTTCTGCTGTGATGGAGAATTAGAAAATATGGAAGCTGAGACACGGTTTGTGTTCGATTGTTTAGAGATTATGGCGATGCTGCTGATTAGTGTCTCAAACCAAAGCAGACGTAGTTTTATTCTTATCCTTCAAGAGGACTTAAATCTGTACGTAACAAACCCATTGATGCTCGATGTAAGAGTTTCTGTTGGCTGTAATGGTTCCTCTTGTCAAGTCCTTTTGAGTTTTATCAGTTAAAACCCGCCTCGTTTTAGTTGCTCTAAAGAAGACTCATAATGGTACTAAATCTTCTTGTATCTAAAGGCTTAACTCCCTAACAGCGGCCATATTTATGAGTGATCTGTATAAGGAAACAAAAATAAGCCTTATGGCTCTGCTCTTACCTCAGTTTTGCACTTTCATATCATTTACTTTGGCGTTGAAATGGCAGAAAATACATGTTCAGAGTAACCAGAAGAAAAGCGATGGATAAATAGCGTTTGGCCTCGTGTTGTCTGTAGTGATTCATGTAAGGGTGGACATTAGCCATAGTTGTTGTGTTTTGATAAGGTTGAGACACCTGCAGTTTGTTTTCAGCTCTACTTCCGAGTAGAATATTTACTTGCGTAAACTAACGTTTAAATCCATAGGAGTGGGAAACAAAAAGGCCAAATTGTAATTTTCAGAAGATTTTTGCAGGTCGTTTCAGGTTATTGTGAAGACCTGCTGTACTGTGCCGGTTACATTTGACTCAAAGCAATAAGACCCCATGTTGGCTCAGGTTTAGGTGAGCTGCTGATGTAGGTATTAGATGTTCTTGTTTGTACAGGAGGGGGATATACAAAAGAGTTAGACACAGGAATAGCATCAAAAGTGCCATTAGACTAGTCAGGTGTGTCCCTGCAGCTACGCGAAGCATGAATCAAAAAGTGTTCTTATTGGTTAATCTCAGAAATGAGGAAGTGGTTATTTTTAAGGAAGGCGTGAGTACACAGGTGCCATCCAATCAATAATTATGTTTAGGTATTTTCAGCAGGCTGCTGTAACAATCATTAGTTTGATATTATTGGATGTCTGCTGCACTTGAATGCAACATGTTGCATTCAGTGTTTGAGTGCAACTCAATCTGTTGTTTTTTGTATACTTCTGGATTGTTCCTTTGTGGGGGTTTTTTTTTTGTTTAATTTATGAATTCCCTTGCCAAAAAAAAAAAGCAAAACTGTCCCAACTGGTTACGGACTGGAAATCTATAAAAAAAAAAAAAAGCTTTTTTCTTTTTTTTTTCCAACGTTGAGAAAGATGTAAATGTGTTGCAGTGTCTGATTATGAATAAACACTGGAAACTTTGTTCATTGTTGGTTTACTCTGGTTTATTTCAAACAAAACCATTATAAGTTTGTGTAGCTGTAAAAGTTCAAGTACTGTGGACGTCATTCTGTTTAGAATTGTAATCTTGTTGAATTACAAACTATTTGGTGCATTTAAAAGATGATTGCAGTAGAGGCAATACATTTACATTCAAATTTGTTTAACTATAATAACATATTTACAGTACTTTTATTTTAGTTTCTAATCTTTAAAATTTAAACGTTATTTATAAAAAATAAAAAATGACCGCTTTGATGAAATTGAGGACGTTTATTGGTTCATGTGTCTGATTCTCCTGTGAAGTTGGGGTTGGTGAACGTCGGCTGCAACAGAGGAAGAACACAACCTCAAATTAGCTTCATACATTTTTCTGTTACCGGATTTTCATTCCTGATCACAACGGACCAATCACAGACTCACCACATCAATTTTACTGGTTGTTCTTGTTGGCAAGCTCAGGCTGCTCAGTTTATATCCACGCACTTTAAAGACGAAGTACATCAGTCCAGATATCAAGCCGACAATGAAGATGGCGCCAATGATGGCACCGGCTACCACCCCACCTACATCTGGATAGAAACCAATCAAATGTCAACAAGGTGCATCCCATTTTAACTGAGCATAACATTTCATTTTCTTAAGGATATTTTTTTTTTATCCTTGAAAGAAAATTATTGCACTAAATAAATTTTGACATGCCCAAAGACCTTTGGAAGCAGTGGAAATGGAGCTAAAGTGTGTGGAAACTAATTGTAAAAGACAAAGTTGGCATAATACTAAATTTTATGCATATTGACCAAAAACTTAAAGTATAACTTGATTTTTGTATGGATCTTCAGACTACAAAAGACCCATATTGACCTCTAAACTTAGAGCCTACACTATAAACAAAGTACTTTAAAAATACTGTTTTATCGCTTACTGGAACCAGGACCATCAGTGGGGAAGACGGGGTGTTTGTTTTCATCAGTTGTGTAATCTGAAAGAGTTTTTTATAAACATTAGAAAACAACAGATGATCAAGCACTAAATCTGTAGATGATGTTGACAAAGCCGTACACTGGCGGTGGCGACAAGCGAAGCCTTTCTTCAGCATACAGTTGTTGTCGTTCCACCGTCCGTCCTCGTACATCTCCACACAGTTCTCCTCAGCCACTTCCCCAGGATGGAAGGCAGAGTTGGGCTCATTGGGAGCCCAGTTGAGGAAAGCCACTGATGTTTTATCCGTCCAGCCCCAACCAACTAAAAACCCAAACATGGCATGTAAGTGCTTTTTTAAATTTTTTTATTGCTGTTTTTAGTTTTTAAAACCCTTGATGAACGTGATTGCTGCTACTGTTGGACTCACAGTTGTTGTCCCTGGTGAGGCCGATCCAGATGTTGTGGTTTTTGGTGTAGTTCATGTTCCTGATGAACTCCAGTTCCGCTCTGCTGTGAATGGAGACCAGATCGGTCCGGGCTGACTGGCAGTAGTGTCGGGCGTCAGGCCAGGAGTAGCCCTGCTTCTCGTTGTACACGTAGTAACAGTAGCGGCCGTAGGGAACCCAGAACGGCAGACACTTCCCATCACCGGGGCTGGGAGTCGGTGGCGGTTTCTCTGAGACGATACGTCATTAACAACAACGTACCTTCATCATAATGTTAATTCTATAATGAGCCAGTTCTAGGTGGCCATACCCGAGGAGATCTTGCAGATGTAGGGCTTAGCTTGGTCACACTTGGTATCATTCCAGGTCCCGTGGAACCAGATTGAAGCGTGCATACTAACACAGCCCTCATCCTTGATGTTACTGGGCTCTCCCGGCCCCCACTGTGTGAAGAACACCGGCCAGTCGTCTGACCATGCGTACGAGCCATCCTCCTGCATCACAACATAGTTATCTTTTTGAAGCCTTCTGAACTGAGAATTGTAAACGTTTTCTACTTTTCTATGTTTAAAATGTTAAAGGTTTATCTGACGTGCACCTTGCGCCTGAGTCCAATCCAGGCGTCTGCTTTTCCTTGCAGGACGACCCCAGCAACAAAGGCCTGGTCGTAGCTCATGTCGATGCTGGCCAAGTTGCCGCCCTGCACCTTGCAAGCTGCCTGAGCAGCGTCCCAAGTGGCCGGCTCCTCCACCAGCCTGTAGCAGTTCCGGTACCAGGAGATGTAGTTAGCAGGGCAGGGGCTTTTGGTTGGGGGAGGAGGTTGGATGCTGCTTGCTGATGAAGAGGCAGACAAAAATGTTTGCCGGCAGCTGAAATGTTTCCTGAACTTAAATGAGCCGTATCAGACTTACATTTCTTTTTGGAGCAGACGAAGCTATGATTCCTGTGACAGGCGTCGTCATTCCATTTGCCGGTTGAGAGCACGTTGTGAGTCATCGCCACACAGCGTTCCTGTTGAGCAGAACAAAAACAATCCGAGCTGTGCTCCCTTTACACTGACCCGTCTTTGAGTGCAAGCTTTGCTTTACTTCCAAAGACTTCGGTAGTTTAAAAAACATTTCCTCACCACTCCGCCTGCATTGTTGGGCTCGTTTTCATTCCAGTTGGTGTACAGCACCGGGCTGACCCCGTCGCTCCAGGCGTACTGGTTCTCTGACGTCTGATCTGACAGTCCTATCCAGGTGGGGAGCCTCAGGTCTCTCAGGTAACTAGCAACAAAGTCTGGAGACGCAAACGATCAGCAGTCACTGATAAGTCTTTCAGGTGTTCTGGTTAAAGGCTTCTGCTGGGCTTACCGTTCTCATACTGGTCATCAATAACTGCCAGATCTCCTTCTTGCACTTTGCACCAGCTCTGAGCGTCAAGCCAGCTCATTCTGATTT